GGGGAGAGGGAGGTCTGGGCCTCCCTTCTGAAGCTGCTGCCCCCGCGACCCGACCCCGGATAGGCGGAAGAAAATGGATGGATGGATGGATGTCTTAAATCAGTCTTTCAGAGGTCTTAAAAAACACGTTGTAGCTAAATAGGATTATTGTAATCCATCTCAAATTTTTAAATAATTGGTATCATTTATTTAGTTTTTAAAAATGTTACTGAATGTTTCTCAGAGCTCTGAGATATTGTTGCTAATGTTTTTTTTGGGAGGTTTTGTCCTGATGCATCGAATCTCATCCTAATCTCATCTCATCCTAATCTCATCCTAATCTCGTCTCATCCTAATCTCATCCTAATCTCGTCTCGTCCTCCTCATCTCACTCTTCTCATCTAATCTCATCTCATCTTAATCTCATCTCATCCTAATCTCATATCATCCTCATTTCATCTCATCCTAATCTCATCCTAATCTCATCTCATCCTCATTTCATCTCATCCTCCTCATCTCACTCGTCTCATCCTAATCTCATCTCATCCTAATCTCATCTCGTCCTCCTCATCTCACTCTTCTCATCTAATCTCATCTCATCCTAATCTCATCTCATCCTAATCTCGTCTCATCCTCATTTCATCTCATCCTAATCTCATCTCATCCTAATCTCATATCATCCTAATCTCATCCTAATCTCATCTCATCCTAAACTCATCTCATCTCGTCTCATCCTCATCTCATCCTAATCTCATCTCATCCTCCTCATCTCACTCTTCTCATCTCATCTAATCTCATCACATCCTCATCTCATACTAATCTCATCTCATCTCATCCTAATTTCATCTCATCTCATCCTAATCTCATCTCATCCTAATCTCATCCTAATCTCATCTCATCCTCCTCATCTCACTCTTCTCATCTCATCTAATCTAATCTCATCCTAATATCATCTCATCTCATCCTAATCTCATCCTAATCTCATCCTAATCTCATCTCATTCTCCTCATCTCACTCTTCTCATCTCATCTAATCTAATCTCATCCTAATATCATCTCATCTCATCCTAATCTCATCCTAATCTCATCCTAATCTCATCTCATTCTCCTCATCTCACTCTTCTCATCTCATCTAATCTAATCTCATCCTAATATCA